TAAACAAAAAAATTAACCTACTCTTACGTTTGAAAACCTTCATGGCTGGTGTGAGGGAGATGACAGAAGAGGGTTCTTGCATAAGAGACAATTTTCCCTATCACTAACAAAATCATTGCTATCTATTGGCTCAGTGGAATCTCTTTATTTTTGTGCAACTTTAACAAAGAACCTATTCAATTACCTAGAATGAAGCAGAGCATTCCTAAGCTTACTCTTATATGGAAAAGCAAAGGACTGTCCATAGGTGCTTTGAAGGAACAAAAAATACACCAGTGCCAGTTGTGGGTACCTTCCAACGTTCTGAAAAATCACTGATTTCTGCCAAACACCACAGCCTGAGACCAAGCATTTGAGTATGGGAGAAGATCACCCACAATCCCGCAGCGAGAAAGAGAGAGAAGAACCATTGTCTCAGTAGTGATCATGTGATTTTCGGCATCAGAAACTACTCGTATTGCAAGACATCGCTCTTTACCAAGTTAAAATTTATTAGAAATGTTTGCTCGTCTTGCAGAACATGCACAGTACAGGTTACTCACAATCCAAGGTTTTACTGTATTGCCCTATTACCTCTTTATTATCTACTCCATCTAAAATATATGCCTCATAAGAACAGAAACTCTGTTCTCTCTTCAGTCCTCTATTTCTAGAACCAATACTTGACACAGAGTTGATGTCCATAAAAATGTGTTTAATAAATGAATAAATCACTAAATATGAGCCCCTTTTTAGCACATAGTGAAATATTACCTCTATCTGTGTACCTCTATCTGGGTAAAGAGACTCCTTTGATCTCCTACTTCTATAAAACATCCATATTTCTCAGATGGATGAGAAAACATCCCACAGACAATTAGAATGTCTTTGTAAATAAGGAAGTATGTCATGTCTTCTCTATATGGCATTATATTCATTTGGGAAAGAATTTTGCTTCTAGCTTATAAATCTGTATTTGTCCATTGATTATTATTTATCACTCTGTCTTCATACTCAGTTTGAGAACTCAAAGTTTTTTAAGTGAAACTTAGTGAATTCCTTTTCCAAGTAGCTTTTTTTCCATTTGAAAAAGCCGGACTTGATAGTATTAAATCCAGAAAGAAGGAAAGAAATTCTTAACAGCATTATATAGACCACATTCCTCATTTTTTTCTCCCATCAAATCTTAACAATAATTGCGCATTAGAGAACAAAATTGGTAAATGAGTTCCCTTCCACTAAGCTGAAATTCTGCCACGAACAGAAAGTAATTTTTCTAAAATGCAAAGTACATCAATCATTTTACCCCCTTGCTTAAAACCCTGCAGTAGCTTCTCATTGCTCTTGAAGTAAAGAACAACATCTTCATCTCTGCTCACATGTCTACCTGGCCTGGCCCTTGCTTATCTCCCCAGTCTCATTAATCATCCATCTCTCACTTGGCCTGTGAGCTCTGGCCAAACTGCCTTCTCTCAGTTTTTAAATTTCATTCTTTATCCAAATGCCAGGCTTCTCTGATTTCACTCCCACATCCTTCAGATCTCAGCTCTGAGGTCCCTTTCTCTGGCAGCTTTCTCTCCCTCAAATTCTCATTCTAGACCAGGATCTTTTGTTACAGGCTCCCATAGAAACTTTCCCTCCCTCCCACTCTTCTCTCTCCTTTCCTTTCTTGAAGAGCACATACCTCCATTTCTAATCATACATTCTTCTGCATTCTCATGTGACTAACACCTTTCTCCCAATTAATCTGTAGGAGAGCAGAGATTCCTCTTTTACTCACCATTATTTTCCAAGCTTGAGAACAGTGCCTGGCATATGTGATAGGCCACTAGTACTTGCTACATTAATGAAAACAGTTCTCAAACTCTCTGATTTGCCTTGCTGATGGAAGTCAACTATTTAAGTAGTGTTAAATACTCTTAGCTTAATACAGCAATAATTGGGGTAGGGAATTATATTGATGTTACCTTGTTGCCATGAACATAGGTAGTTAAGGAGCAGCAAAGGAAGAAGGAATGTTAAACAGAAGTAACTTCCTCAGGGGCTTCTTCGCTGTGCTGAGTACCTATAAGTCCATCTAATCTTTGGACATTCATTTCCACAGGGAGTATAAAATGCAGTAACATTCATGAAAGTACTCTAGATTCGTTTTGCCTATAACTCCAAGAAAACGATTTATGACAAAATGTTGATAGTAATAATGAAATGAATATAAGAGAAAAAGTTGGGAAGTGTGAAAACAAAGCACCCAGACCCTGCTGAACATTTCCAGGGAAATAAATATTTAGTTACTCCATAGTGAGAAGGTCATGTTTTGTAATGCGAAATGTTTCATGCCTCATAGCACGGAAGTTATGAAAGATCAGTCAGTAATCAAAGAGTAACACCATCCGTTAACCAAAGCAAGAGAAGACACAAAGATGATAAATGAAGTGTCTCTTTCGAAATGGGGAAAAAATGAATGAAGACTTCAGAAGTTGAAATCAGTCTGGTTTCCCTCTGGGATTTCGGAGAGGATTTTACATTTTTTCTCACTTGGCTTCTTCCATATTTTTGTGTGGACATGAGGCCTGTTAATACTTTCAGGACAAACTCAAATCAACAAAAATAGTTAGAATACATGGAGAAAAGAAACTGGATGATGGCCGAGCTTGTTTTCCTGGATCTGATATTGAATAGTTGTGTGACCTTGATGAAATAACTTGACCTCTTGCTTGGGTCTGACTTTATGCAGTACAGAATTTAATGAGAAACATACAAATGATTGTTGTTATGCCTCCTAACATACCTGGAAGAGGGGATATGTGTTAGTGTTTCCTTTTACCTAACCTTATGTGACTGTGTATGTGTGTGTGTGAACTCAAGGTGTATTCCAGAGTACTCGGATGGCTTTTTTTGGTTTCTTTCAGAATCTCTTTCTAACTTGCCCATTGATGCCTGGAATTCCTCAAAAGGGGCACAGCATTTCATTCTATAATTAGCATTATAAATTAACATACAAATCATTCTGGGAGAGGTGACACATGGAATTTCATACTATGAGTTAAAAAGACTTGAAGGAGCTCTTTTTCTGAGAGTAAATTTTGACAGGGTTAAGAAGCTGAAGGAAGTGAATGCTGACAAATGGGGAAGCATAAACATGAGAAAGCTTAGAGTACCAAAAGCACATTTTACTTGCTTCACATTTTTGTCTGGAGCTGGCCCTGGGGAGCAACTTGAAGAGGACCATTACATAGACTTTGAGTTTTGGTAGCAAACACCTCCCCTCCATCCTCCTCAAGAGAATGTAAGCTTGTAGGGTTGTACCCTGGGCCCACTTCACATTGAGAACACTTAAATTGTTGAGCAATGCTACACAGTACCAGGAACTGCACCAAAGGGAGCCTATCTGATGGTAAAATAGCAAATGGCATATACTTCAATACCAGTGTTTAGAACATGAAGAGCAATGACAGTTCAGCGAGGTTAATGTAACAACTTTTCCTTGTTTTCTTTACTGTTTATATAATTTCTGTTTGCGTATTTATTTGGCAGCCAGATGGAAAGCCTATCTTTTAAAACTATCCATAGATTATGAGGGCACTCTAGGCATTTTACATTACCTTATACTTAATAATAACAACCCGTTGCTAAGGATCACAGTTAGTTGGCATATGAAATTACTAGGAGGATGCAGCATTTCTGACAGTCTCATTTAGTCTGATTTTGATAAAATAACTGTTCGTTGAAAATGAGTTTCTGTGTTTTGAGTATTCTGGCATATTCTGGCATGTTGTAGATCGAACATTAAATAATAGTGTCTTGTTCTGTATCTAATATTAGTTCCCAGCATATCTGTCCTCTGTACCCTTCAAACCCAGTGTTCCCTTGGTTTCATTTTCTCTGCCTTTTGTCACAATCATCAAGTTGAAAATGAAGTTAAGGAAGCTGCTAAGTCTCTGCATGTGTATATAATGGATATCATGTTGACCCATATTCCAAAGACCTCTGGAAAACACAGGGACAGGTAAAAAGGAGTAAAAAAAAAAAGGGGGGGGTAGTTATTGATAATGTACAGAGAGCCAGCAGTCTGATACCAGGGACAAGACCTATTTGGGAACCAGACAAAAAATACAGGTATTCTAGTCAGAAAGAGGATTGTGTCTGGGACCACTTTGGTCATCTGTCCAAAAGCCTTTTATTTGAGTAGTATTTACTAGATAAGTCCCACTCTCAGGGGCTTTTTCTTAAAGACACTGCTGATCTTCTGACACCTGCAGGTATGTAGACTTCCCTCTTCTCCTGCACCAAACATTTTTGTAGACTTATTTAGCAATTCAAGAATCCTTTCAAGATTTTAAAATCCAAACTACTGTCAAGAATAACTATCCTAGGAGGCACCTGGCTGGCTCAGTTGGTGGAGCCCGCGACTGACTCTTGACCTCAGGGTTGTAAGTTCAAGTTCCATGTTGGGTGTACATATTACTTAAAAATAAAAATATTAAAAAAAACTATCCTAATTATGATGGGGTTGAGATTGCTATCAGAGGGAAGCATGAGGGAAGATTGCACGAAAAAGGAAAGATAATTATAGTGAAATCCAGGATCTGCAAATCCCAGTACACCACTCCATTGTGCCCACAATTGCTGATTCTTGGTATTGCTCTGAACTTAAGTACTTTCTCCTGAACGCTCTTGAAAGGGCCAAGAAGAATGAATAAATTCTTAATACTAAAGAATGAATAAAGAATAGGAAGAGACGAGTGTGTTTTTTGGTATTTTATTCTCCCAGCAACACAAGGCATGTAGACTATCAAAGACAGAAACTATCAAATTACAGATTTTCAAAGGACCCCTAAAAACACCTAGTTCCCACCTCTGTTTCTACATAAACTTGTCATTCTGAAAACTTTAGGTAAGATTTTATGTATATACTTATTTTAAAAGTTTTCTGACAGCCATATAGCATTGTTTTTCCTCAAATATTTCAGTTAGAATTAGTTTCTAATATGTAATACAAGTTTGGCTGTAATTTAAGGCAATTTCTTTTTTTTTTTGTCTTTTTTCACTGTTTTTCATGTTGGTTTTCTTCTTATACATACCTGCTGTTACATTTTAGATAAAGATATTAGGTGATTTTATTCCCTTGGTTATGAGATTAAAATTGCTTAGGACTGCACATTCATTTTTTATGTTCACGTTCTAGTGGCAAATTCATTCTTTATAAACATGCTTCTTTATATGGTGTGTTCCCTGGTGGTTTGCAGTTCCAAGGGCAGCAATGACGAAAATTCTTGAGGTAAAAGCTCATCTGTGACTTGATTCCTCCAATTCAGTTCTCACAACAATTCAGTGTCTCAGCTTTACTCCCTTTTGAGTGTTCTCCTTGAAACTGATACTATGGAAAACAAAACAAAAACAAAAGCCCTCTTAGATATGGATAATACAGAAGGAGAGGGAAAATCTACAAAAGATCTCTTATGGACTGCTCACTGCTTGCTTCAGGGATATTTTTGAAAACAGAAATTATATCTACACAGCCAAAAATGCCTGGAACCAGGGCTGTGCTGAGTTGCAGACTCTGTCTCCACAGCCAAGCTGGGGCAGCTCTGGCCACTCGGCCCGGGCTCTGGGCCACTCTGGTTGGCAGCCTAGCCAACCAGAACATGCCAGGGAGGTGGGGCTGTGGGGCAGCCTTGCTGTCTCCCCAGGACTGTGCAAGTGAAAACTCTAATAGGATTCCTGAGAAGGATTAGACCCAATCAGAGTGCTGATGCCACGTTAATCCTTCGGCTACTTTAACTCAAGTCCCCAGTGAGGCTGAGGAAAAAATGGAAATTATCACTTTTCCTGTTCCTCCTTCACTATGAAAGCATGACTGCACAACCTTCAAAAAGCCATCTTTAACAATCCCACTATCTTTTATCTATTTCTCTAACTGGATTTTTTGGCAGTAAAGGAGGATGTGAGTAAGCAACACATGTGCAACTAAACTTAACAAGAGCAAGAGCCAGCCTTGCTGGCTGATGGAACTGATACTCAAAGCAGTGGTTCCAAGCATTGTAAAACTGCCATGATGTGGAGATTTGGCTATATGTATGTCAACTAGAGGATTGCAAGTCACCAAACCAGGTCATTTGGGTCCATCATATTCCATCTGGGAACTGAATTATTTAATCTGGCTGCCTAAAATAATCAGAAAACTAGAAAACTAGAAAACTAGAAAACTGCCAGACTATTTAGGTTTGGGGTTGGTAAATATAAAACAGTAAGATAAAGAAGTACCATGCATTGCAGATTATAGGGAATTTAAAAAGTGCCATCAGATCCTTCCCATAGAGTCCTCTCTGGCACGTATGTGCTTGCTTCCCAGTAGACTGCAGGCTAATATTGTCTCTATCCTAGAGGTATTAAACATACCTTCCCCTTCTCAGCTTTTGCATTAGGAGGGAAATCCGTAATGGAAACTGACCAGCTGGAGATCTCATTATTTTTGGTGATCAAAGAAAAACAATTGATCCTTGGACATTGTTTTCCCTTGTGGAACAAGAATTGTAATTTGTGCCATTGGTTGGTTCTCTCCCTACCCAAAGGAAAATTAGGAAATTAGAGTGCAGATTCTAAAATAGGTTGTACTTCTGAACTCACTGGTGATTAATAATAGATATCTCTAACCCCTAGACAATTAGTGTTCATATATAATTCCCTTGACTCAAAGAGGGGAAACAAAAGAAACAAACAAAAAAAGAGTAAAGCCAAATGTAAAATCGAATCAGATTTTGTACACTGTTCCCCAGAGCCAAAATGGAGACTTGGAAGTTTATGCTATCCAATTACAATGTTGCTTCACATTTAAAGGAAAGAAGAATAAAGCAGTTATCTAAAATACCATTCCAGGTCAGAGCATACCACTGTCACTGACTGGCTAAATTTGTCTCCAGCTTTGTGCTTATTCTCCCTCCCCCAGCTTCTGGATCCTTCTCTCTCAGGTTTGACCTTATAATTGTACTGACCCAGACCAATCTCGGAGCAATGGAGACCCTCAATTCAAAACAGGTTAATCTCCCCAGGATTGATAATCTATCCAAGGTCTACATCCCCTTTCATTTCCAGCACTGTCAGTAAGATGGACAGTTAGCAGTCAGCAAGAAAAACTCCCTTTGGTCACCTATGGTGCAGTAGCACATACATTATAAAATAGAAATATGTATTTATGGCATGCTGTAAAGAAAGCTCTAATCTGAACACTGAAAAAAAAAAGTGAATGATAATGTCAACCACATACATTCATCTATTTCATCCCCTTGCATTTAAGTTTTGCTTTCTCTTTTTCCCCCAAACTGGGTAGTTTAGACATTTCCTATAATACATCTTCATTAGAGTCCATAAATGTTTTATGGATGTGCATTTAGAAAAGTTGCTTTAAAACTTGAATTTGAGCAAGACCATCACTACAAGAAAAAAAAAAAAAGTATTGACATCTGCTTAAGTGTTAATTTCTCTGAAAGCACAGAGGGTATTAACACAGACTCTCTCTCTTGTTAAATGGTAAGTTTTAAAATTGTTCAAAGAATGCCAAAGGGTTTTTTTTAATGTTTGTTTATTTTGTAGAGAGAGAAAGAGAGACGGGAGAGAGGGAGAGAGAGGGAATATCCCAAGCAGGCTCCGCGCTGTTGCTATAAACATTGGGTGATGTATACCTCTGAATTAGTATTTTTTCATTCTTTTTTTAATTTTTTTTTAACGTTTATTTATTTTTGAGACAGAGAGAGACAGAGCATGAACGGGGGAGGGGCAGACACAGAGGGAGGCACAGAATCGGAAGCAGGCTCCAGGCTCTGAGCCATCAGCCCAGAGCCCGGCGCGGGGCTCAAACTCACGGACCGCGAGATCGTGACCTGAGCTGAAGTCGGACGCTTAACCGACTGAGCCACCCAGGCGCCCCGGTATTTTTTCATTCTTAAGGTAAATACATAGTAAGTGCAATTGCTGGATTGTAGAGTAGTTCTATTGTTAACTTCTTGAGGAAACTCAGTACTGTTTTCCAGAGTGGCTGCACCAATTTGCATTGCCACCAACAGTGTAAAAGTCTTCCCCTTTCTCGGCATCTTTGCCCACACATTATGTTTGTGTTGTTAATGTTAGCTATTCTGACAGGTGTGAGGTGGTACCTCATTATAATTTTGATTTGTATTTCCCTTGTGATGAGTGATGTTGAGTACGTGTTCATGTGTTTATTCACCATCTGCATGTCTTCTTTGGGAAAATGTCTATTCATGTCTTCTCATGTTTTTAATTGGATTATACATTTTTTGGATGTTGAGTTTTCTAAGTTCGTTTTATATTTGGATACTAACCCATCAGCAGGCATGTCATTTGCAAGTATCTCCTCCATTCCATACACTGCCTTTTAGTTTTGATTGTTACCTCCACTGTGTTTTAGTTTTAGTTTGATTGTTACCTCCACTGTGCAGCAGCCCCAATAGTTTATTTTTGCCTTTATATCCCCTGCCTTAGGAGACATGTCTAGTAAGAAATTGCTACCGCCAGTGTCAAAGAGGTTACTGCCTGTGTTCTCATCTAGGATTTTTAATGGTTTCAAGTCTCACATTTAGGTCTCTCATCCATTTTGAATTTATTTCTGTGTAGGGTATGAGAGAGTGGTCAACTTTTCGTTCTTCCACATGTTGCTATCTAGTTTTCCCAACACTGTTTGTGGGAGAGACTGTCTTTGGCCCATTGTATAATCTTTCCCGCTTTGTCAAAAATTCATTGGCTGAATAGTTGTGGTTCCTTTCTGGGTTTTTATTCTGTCCCATTGTTTCATGTGTTTATTTTTGTGCCAGTATCATACTGTTTTGATAACTACAGCTTTGTAATAGAACTTGACGTCCAGAAACTTGATGCCTCTAGCCTTTCTTTTCTTCTTTAAGGTTGCTTTGGTTATTCAGGGTCATGTGTGGTTCCATACAAATTTTAGGATTACTTGTTTTAGCTCTGTGAAAAATGCTGGTCATATTTTGATAGAGATTGCATTACGTGTGTAGATTGCTTTGGGAAATAAAGACATTTTAACAATATTTGTCCTTTCAATCCATGAGCATGGCATTTTTTTCCATTTCTTTGTGTCATCTTCAATTTCTTTCATTAGTGTTTTATAATTTTCAGAGTGCAGATCTTTCATCTCTTTGGTTACATTTATTCCTAGTTATCTTACAGGTTTTGAATGGGATCAATTCCTTGTTTTCTCTTTTTGCTGCTGCATTATTGATACATAGAAATGCAAAAGATGCCTGTGTGTTGATTTTGTATTTTGTGACTTTACTGAATTTGTGTATCAGTTCTATCATTTTGGTGGAGTCTTTTGGGTTTTCTATATACTGTATCATGTTATCTGCAAATAGTGAAGGTTTGGCTTCTTCCTAGCTGATTTGAATGCCTTTTATTTCTTTGTATTGTCTTATTGGTATGGCTAGGATTTCCAGTACTGTGTTAAATAACAGTGGTGAGAGTGGAAATCCCTATCTTCTTTCTGGCTGTAGAGGAAACGCTCTCAATTTTTCCCCACTGAGGTTGATATTAATTAACAGTGGCTTTTTCATAGATGTCCTTCATGATGTTGAGGTATGTTCCCCCTAAACCTACTTTATGAGGGCTTTTGTGAATCGATGTTGCGCTTTGTCAAATGCTTTTTCTGCATCTACTGAGAGGATCATATGGGTCTTACCCTTTCTTTTATAACTGTGGTGTATCACGTTGATTGATTTATGAATATTGAACCATTGTTGCAGCCCAGAAATAAACCCCACTTGATCATGAATGATTCTTTTAATGTACTGTTGGATTTGATTTGCTAGGATTTTATTGAGATTTTTTGTATCCATGTTACTCAGGGATATTGGTCTGTAGTTTTTTGTTTGTGTTTTGTTTTGTTTTGTTTTTGTTTTTTTGTGTTTTTTTTTTTTTTTAGGGGAGGCTTAATATGGTTTTGGTTTCAGGGTAATTCTGGACTCATAGAATGAATTTGGAAGTTTTCCTTCCATTTCTATTTTTTTGGAATAGTTTGAGAAGAATAGGTATTAACACGTCTTTAAAAGGTAGGGGGGCACCTGGCTGGCTCAGTCAGTTAAGTGTCCAACTTTGGCTCAGGTCATGCATGATCTCACAGTTCGTGAGTTCAAGCCCCGCATCAGTTTGTTCCAGATTTCTATTTCTTCCTGTTTCAGTTTTGATAGTTTATGTTTCTAGGAATTTATCCATTTCTTCCAGGTTGTCCAATTTGTTAGCATATAGTTTTTCATAATATTCTCTTATAATTTTTGTATTTCTGTGGTGTTGGTTGTTATTTCTCCTTCCATTTGTGATTTTATTTATTTGGGTCCTTTTTATTTTCTTTTG